CCGCCCCCCCCCCAACCTGACCCCCTGCTCAGCCGCTTTCCCAACCTGTTTAGTCCTGGCCAGGATGTCCCTGTGCAACTGCCCCAGGCCTAGATGACACCCTGCCTGGCTAAGGGCCCAGGCACACAGGTGGCACAGTGAGCCCTGAAAGAGGACACTCTCCCTACACTGGAGTGGGTGGTGGCTGCCCTGGAATCTCCCATGTGTGCACCTGGTTTGAGGAGCTTATGGTGTGTGTCGAGCTGACGGGTTTCTTTTCAGATTAAAGGACAAAAACTACTTTGTTCCTAGTACAGCTTTACTTTCAGGCGTTGTATTTAATTTCAATGAAGGACGAAGCAACTGCACATTAGTCATGCCCCTAGTGGAGAACAGAAGATGGCCAGAGAGTGAAATGAGAGAGGGTGATTCAGAAATGATTTCTGTCTGTAAAATCTGTCTGTGCACCCAGAGGATAATGGGTAAGTGATGACAGTAGCTGTGTCACACTTACTGTCAGCTGTTCATGTTCTTTTAGCATCGAACCAGGCACTTTTTTAGGCACCTTACACGTATTCTTCCTTTAATCCTCACAATTACATGAGGCAGGTACTGTTAACACCCCCATTGCACAGATGGTACAACTGAGGCACAGAAAGATTTAGTGTCATTATCGGGGCCCAGAAGCGGATGCTCAGTCAGACATGCGTTACTCTGCCTGGCCCTCACCTTCTAGCAGATTCCCGAATGGCTCCTGGTGGTCAGCAGCCCTCAAGGACAAGGCCAGGTAGCACTTGTACACAGGTCTGGACATATGTCAACATGGGAGGTTGCTTTGACATGAGACACCTTAGTTGTTTCATCATGAAAATTCCTAAAAAATGTGGACCAAGCTGCAGTTTTAGACGTTGTTCCCACTATTGCTCAAGAGAATTATTGAAGCCCCTTGCATTCTGGCTTCGATATCTCTCACCGTGATGTGAATTCTAAGCAAAGCAGAGAAGAGCCTCACAGTGGACTTGGGAGAAAGTTGACTGAGCTCTTAAGAAGGCAAGACCCCTTTCCCTCTTTTTTACCTGAAATTGCTAAGCAATGTTCTCATAACAGGCAAGGATCCCGGGTCCCCCTTTCCTGACCTGTGAGAGGTGGGTGTGAACTTCCAAGCTGTTGGGAACTTTGCTGGCCACCGAGTTTACCCAACCCTCGGTCTTGTGAAGGTGGAGGCAGGGCATGGAGAAGGAAAGTCACATGGCGAGGGCTGTGCTCGGACCCAGACCTTCTGGCCTAGCATCCTTTCCCCATGTCTTGATTCTCCCTCCATCCAGTCTCCTGCTGAGAGGATGACCACCAGTAAGCCCCCACTAAGCTCCTGCCTTCTTGTTCTGACAGCCTGGGGGGGAAGAGCTGCCCCTGGACCGCAGTGGCATGGCGATTCCCAGTGACACTGATTACCTGGACACGTGGGAGGTAAGCTGAGCTGGCCAGCAGCATCTTCCTCCTACTGATGGGCCTCGAACGGGAAGCCGTGGATCCTGAGCTCCTGGCGTTCAGAGATACCAGGTTGTCTCCTCAAAAGGCAGGTGTGCAGCACGAAGGGACACCTGTCTGCGGGACTCAGAGCCCAGTTTCCTCTTGTTCATCTCTCTGAAACGTGCATTTTAAGGATAACTAACCCAGACCTCCCTTTACTCTTAAATGTTTATTTTTGTATTAAAAAACATCAGATGGTCACTACAGAAACTACAGAAGAGTATAAAAAGGAAATCAAAAGTCCATTTTCCGTGGCCACTCCTAGTACTTTATAGTTCCTTTAGCTCTTTGGTAAGCATTTCAGAATGAAAACTTTGACAGATGGTGACATTGGGGTGCGTCTTGGAGATGCATGGAGGAAGGGACCACGTTTCTTACCTGCTGCCAGCGTCCACACAGGAAGTGATGAGGCCTGAAGTAGAATGTTGAGCCTGGGAGTCAGGGGAAGTGGCAGGAGTGAGGTGTGGCAGTGAACTGATGGTGTGGCAGGAGGAGAGGAGATTCCTGCTCACTCTGGCTTCTAGCCCAGCCTACCAGGTGCCTGTAATCTTACAAATCAACATGAGGGTGAGTGTGAGGCATGGGAAGAAAGCACGTTCACATTGGAATTTGCTGAGTTTAGGGCAGGCGTCCTCAAACTATGGCCCGCCGAAAACATTTATCTGGCCCGCCGGGTGTTTTTGCCGCCGCTGCCTGTCCTGCTTAGCAGCCGACTCGTCCCGGGCCCGCAGTACGCATGTGTGGAATATCTGAGGGACAGTGAACTGGCCCCCTGTTTAAAAAGTTTGAGGACCTCTGGTTTAGGGAGATGAGACTCTGGACCCACTGGTGTGAGATGGGCAGGTGCAGGGGTGGGAGTGCCGGAGGTCATCCAGGCAGAGGGGCAGGGGAGCACAGTCAGGCAGGAGCTCCCAGGTCAGGCCAACCTCTAAATGGGCGAATTGACCTCACTTAACAGAGATTAACTGAGGTGTCTGATCTGTTGGGAACAGTGCCCAGGGGGCTGCAACCCTTCGGTCACAGACACTGCCTTTCCTGAAAGGCATGGCTGCAACTCTGGGCTGTTTGTAGCATGAGTGAGGTCAGGGTGACCGTGCAGGGCACACTGACTTTGGCCACCGGCCCCATGGCCACTAGGACTCATACTTAGCCTGGCACCAGGCCACGCTCTTCCTGAAGCTGAGAGCTAGTCCGGCTTGCTGGCCAGTGAACAGCAGAGTAGGGTTCCTGCCCTCAAGGCCCTTACAAGGTAAAAGGTGGTGAGTTAGAATGATGGTACATCATCATACTGAGGAAGATGGTAATCTCGGTAGAAACTGGCTGAGCAGATACAGTCCGCTGTGGACATCCTTGCCGATATCATATCAACAGACATTCAGAGTAACAGAAATAATAGGTACACGTGCTGAGTGTTAGCTAAACGCTCTGTGTTCCTTATTTGATGTAATCCTTAACCCTGTGACACGGTAAGGTTGTACCCACTTGGCAGATGAGAAAATTGAGGCTTAGTGAGGTCATATACTATGCCCAAGACCCCACAGCTATTAAATGATGAAACTGGGGGGAAACCTCAAGTACAGAAATGCTTATAACACATGAAGTCAAATATTTTAAGATATTGGGAGGAGCCAGTTTTAGGATACTGTGCGAAGGATTGGGTGCAGAGCCCACGCACCCAAAAGAATTCTTGTTCTCTCTAGGCCATGGAGGACCTGGTGGTTGCAGGGCTGGTGAAAGCTATTGGGGTGTCCAACTTCAACCATGAGCAGCTGGAGAGGCTTCTGAATAAGCCCAACTTGAGGTTCAAGCCACTGACTAACCAGGTGAGTGTGGATGACTAAGCGGCTTGGAAGGACGGAGTCAGCTTTTCAGCTGTTGCCTCCAGCGGGTTACACTGGAAACAAAGTGGGTGGAGCACGGAGTAGGCATTTTCTCCTGTGACTGTCAAAAGTCATGACTATGGTGCCAGCCATTTTGCCTGAGTGGATAGAGCAGGGTCCCGGGTTCGATTCCAGTCAAGGGCGTATACCTTGGTTGCAGATTCCTGGCCCTGGTCCAGGTGCGTGCAGGAGGCAACCAATCAATGTGTCTTTCTCACATTGATGTTTCTCTCTGTCTCTCCCTCTCCCTCGCACTCTCTCTAAAAATCAATGGAAAAATATCCTCAGATGAGGATTAGCAACAACAAAGAAAGTCATGACTATGGAGCAGTTAGGCAAATGGCAGGTGTGCAGGCAAGACTTTTTTAAAAGGCTCGTCAGGGCAGGTGGTGTCCCTGGAAGGCAGGGTTTTCACTTCAGCCGTGGGGTGAGTCACCAGGTGGCTCAGAAGTGGCAAAGGGACCAGCAGGTCCTAATCCCTCGTTAATGATGGTCAGAGGTGGTGCCGGCTTCCTGGGGCCTCACCAGGGACCCTCCCTCGGCAAGATCACAGCCTCCGTGAGACTCTAATGCTGAGAAATGACTTGTGAGGAAAGGGTTACAGTGCTTTCTAGACTAGCTGCCTTCATGTGTAAAAAGGGGCACTTATTTTACTTAAACTTTTATTAACGTGTTTTGTACGTGCAAAAAAGCGCACACATAAGAATGGAGCTTGATAAGTTCTCATAACTGGACCTAGCTCTGGACCAGCCCCCAGAGCAGGGGTGGGGAACTTCTGGTCCTCGGGCCATATACCAGTAAGACCCATGAAATCATTTGGTCTGGGCCTGCCAAGGCATTAGGGGTGAGTTAATTAAATGCTTGACCAAATATATCAGGCTAATTTTTAAGTTGATCATTTTGTATGGTGTTATAATTATTTAAGTGGCCCTTGGTAGAACAAAGGTTCCCCACCCCTGACCCAGAGGCAGAAACAGCTAAGAGCCCCTGCCCTGCTGCTTCTAGTCCCTGCTTCTAGTCCCTGCTCCTCGCCAAGGGCAGCCACTGTCCTGATTTCTGACAGAACAGATTAGCCTTTGGACTTTATACAGAAAATGTGACGCATACGTGCTCTTCTGCATCTGGCTTTCCTTACTCAGCATTGTATGTGTCAGGTCCTCCTGTATCCAGGTGTGATTTGCCCATCCTTGTTTCCCTGTGGTATTCCATCTGTGACTATCCCGTCAGTTGGTGATGGACATATGGGTAGCTTCCAGTGTAGGGATATTAATAATAGAACATCATGTTCTATTCTTTTTATAAATAAACTTTTCAATGGAGGTATAACACAGTACAGAAGAGTGCATGGATCTTAAAGGACACAGCTCAGTGAATTTCCACAAGTGAACAGACTCAAGTCGTCAGTACCCAGGGCAAGAGCTGGAAGTCCTCAGCCTTCTGAAAGTTCTTCTGGTCACATCCCACGAGGAGTGGTCGGTGTCCCGACCTGCAGCCTCGCTGAGCTCCTCTGCTTTAAAACCTCACAGACTGATTCTGTCTGTCCATAAGCATTCAGTTCTGTGTTGACTTTTGTTGAGTGGCACTTTAAATCATGGGGAGGGGTGTGGCCTGGTCTGTGGGGTGAGGAGGGACAGCAGGATCTGTTTCCTAAATATCCTGGGAAACCCTTTGGGAATGCGCCCTCAGAGGAGTTCTCAGAGAGCCAGTGGCTTATCTTTGGGGTCCCTGACAGCTCTGCCTGTGGGTCCTGACAGCTCAGCTGGGAACCAGCGAGGACACTGTCCCCAGTTCTGAATTCACTTCTGCCAGTGAATCTGACCAGCTTCTGCCAGTCTAGGACTTACTTTGAGTTCACACAGAACCTGGAATCATACATGAGAATTTAGAGAGTGGGGAGGAGACAGGAATCTGCTCCTGATTTTCTTACGCCGTCCCTTGGAATCAGCTGTAGCCTGTGTTTGTCACAGGTAACTCCCCAGCTTCCTTCATTTACTCAACACTTGCTGAGTTCTATTCTGTGCCTAGCTTATTCCAGAGCTGGGGGCATGTCTTAAATAGAACAAAATCAGACCCAGATCCCTGCCTTCATGGAGCTTATGCCCTAGTGGCAACAGTAGACAGTTGCAAAGAATGACAACATGTAAGATGTCAGCTAAAACACCGTGCTACAGTGTAAGGTAAAGGCAATGAGGAGGTTGGAGGGCCGCACTTTTACCTCAGGCGGTCAGAGAGGGCCTTGCTGAGCAGGGATTCTCGAGCGTTCAGATGGTAAAGGTGTTCTCGAGCTTGCTTACAGCGGGCAGCCTCTCGGAGACCCCTCAGCTCAGCCTGGCACTTCACAGGCGTGGCCACGCGAGCCCTGAGGTGGGCCACGCAGCTCATCAGTGACGGAGCCAGGGTATTGATGTGGGCCCTCTTTTACAGTGCCCTGTTAGTCTGAATGGTCTCTGGTCAGCTGGGATTCTCTTTGCAGATTGAGTGCCACCCATATCTCAATCAGAAGAATCTGATCAGCTTCTGCCAGTCCAGAGACGTGTCCGTGACTGCCTACCAGCCCCTCGGGGGTTCCAGGTAGGGAATTTGTGGCCAGAAATGGATGCATACCTCAGTTTCACTCACAGAGTTAGGTGTAAGGAAGGTGTAGGCAGGTTGTGGAGACCACAGGCCCCCAGCAGGTGGGACTGCCAGCACCCTGGTCTCGGTGGGCTGGGCTGAGGGAGGAGCTGGTGTACATGGGACAGTCATCTTCAGTGGCTGCCTGCAGAAGGGCAGTGATCTTTAAGGGCCATAACCAGCAGGAAGCAACCTCTTTGCTGAGCTCTTTCCTGGTACCTCCCGTGCTCTGCCAGACCTCTCTCTAGGGACGGGTCACAGACATCCCGATCTCTATAGAATCATCTTCCCAGAACCCGAACTGTGTGCTGTGCCCCCTGCATCAGCAGATGAGCCACCCCCCACTGGCCACATGGGCCACAAATGTATTCCCTTTTTTATCTCTCCTCCTACCCCCAATCCAACTTGACAGCACTGGTTATTTTGCCAGGAAACTTGGATTCTCTCTCTTGCTCTCTGTTCTCACTTAATGCCTTCATTAAATACAGATTCTCTCTGGTGATTACAGCAGCCTCTTAACACCTCCCAGGTTTGCCTGGTTCTCAGCCACTATCCACACAACAGCTGAAGGGAGCCACCTTATTGTGACTGTGTCATTCTCCTGCTCACAAATCCTTCAATTCCTGGTCTGGCCCTGACTGTGTCTACCTATTCCTGCAGCATGCTACGCGCCAACCATTTGAAACTATTTGGGGCTCCTGCTTTCTAGTCTCTGTGCCTTTGCAAATACAGTGCTCTTTACCTAGAAATCTTGTCTTTTTTTTTTTTTCTTAACCTGGCTACTCCAGTTTCTAATATAAGGCTCAGTTCAGCATCATCTCCTTCAGGAAGCCCTCCTGATTCCCCCTTATTTGTGTTGCATCCACAGCCCTTATCACACTATCCTGTCATTATTTTCTTCTCATTCTATTCTACTTGAGTTGTGGGGACTGCATCTAAGTCATGACTCTCATACCAGCCCCTAGCTCAGTGCCTGGGATGTATTAGTGGTCCAGGAAAGGCTGAGATTTTTGGATTGTTATTGTCTGTGTGTTTCCCATGTGAAGTGGGGCAGATGTGTGTGACGTTGGTAGAGTGAGGGAGTTCCTAGCGTCTGGGTCATATTCACAACTGAGCTGGGGGTGGAGGAAGCCAGTGAGAGAGTGGGTGGTGGGAGCCACGTGAGAGAAGTTGATGGCCGATGTCCCAGACCCACAGACAAATGGGGTGGACTCTGTTTGGTCCCTTCATAGACATTGAGGATGATTTTTATCTCAGTAACTGCTTGAAACACACTAACTGCTTAAAAATGTTCGCTAAGAACAATAGCTCTCCCAAGTGCTTAGGGCAGGGGTGGGCAAACTTTTTGACTCGAGGGCCACAATGGGTTCTTAAACTGGACCGGAGGGCCGGAACAAAAGCATGGATGGAGTGTTTGTGTGAACTAATATAAATTCAAAGTAAACATCATTACATAAAAGGGTACGGTCTTTTTTTTTTTTTAGTTTTATTCATTTCAAACGGGCCATAGTTTGCCCACGGCTGGCTTAGGGCCTGTCCGCTTGACATCATGGAAGGGCAGACCCGGGGTCACTCTTCAGTCTCTGCATAAAAGCTCCACAGTCCACTGTCTCAGCTTTCTCTTGGGATTTGAGGTGAACTTTTCTGAGATTGCTATCGATTATCTATTCATGCCGGTGGTGCTGCAGACACCACCCTAGGTCCTACAGAAGAGGTCAGAAGTCCCAGGGGTGCCGGAAGCCGGTCCATCCTTGCTGCTTGACACAGTCGCTGCAGGGAAGAAACATCTGCACAGCATATGTTTCAAGGGACCTGGCATATATAGCATATTGTTCTTAATATGTTTGCTCTCCTTAGTGCCATGTGTTTTAACCAAGGTCACCTCTCCGAGAAAGGTTGTTTCCCCAGGTGGGGATTTTTCCCCGAGGTTAGGGAGGGGATACAACCCCTTAACTAAGTGCCAGGCGGGTAGTTAAGCTACATAATCTTTACTCCCTGGAATGGAGATAAGAAACGCCCTATCCTTTGTAATAGAAATTGACAGGATTAAAATCGGCTGGGATAAATATAGATGTAACAAGACAATAAACATCAGTTACTAATCAGATCCTCATCAGATCCCAACCAGAACTTTGGCTGGAGGTCCTGGCTAGAGGTCCTGACTACGCTGCTGATCAACTGAAGGCTGTCTCCGTGTCATTCCTTCTTCGCCGACTCCGTCCACACCTTTGGGGACCCCTGGACCTGCTGGGGTTGGACCACAGCACAGGGGCACCACACAGCGGCGAGCCTGTGCTTTAGACACTCCGATGCTGCCACCTGGGTCTCCAGACAAAGCACCAAATAGATGTGAAGGCCAAGTGTCCAGCTGTGTCCCCCAAATGTCAGCCGTGGTTATCCTAGATGGTGGATCTGGTGACCAGCTTTTCTGCACCATTTAGATTTCCCACACTGAGCAAGTATCATGATCAGACAAAAGTAGATCTAGAGTTTCCATTTTGGAGAAAGTCTTGTTTTTCAAAGAAGGAGGTGCACACATTTGGTCTCACAGCGCCTGCGATGTTCTCCCTAGTGGGGGTGTGGACCTGATGGACAACCCCGTGATCCAGTCCATCGCACAGAAGCACCAGAAGTCCGCAGCTCAGGTAGGTGGGTACCCGCTGGGCTGGGAGGGCCCCTCTCTGCTCACTGCAGGAGCCATGCGTGGGCACGGGCGGATGCCTCGCTCTGGCCCAGCAGGTGACTAATAGAACTGTCCAGTGTTCACCAGCCCCTTGAGGACGCTGTGGTCCCATTCATTCAGGCCCCACGATCAATTCTCCGCATGCCGTGGCCCCAGGCTTCCTCCCGCGGCCCACCAGTTGAGTGGACCCCAAAAGGAGTTTATGACTCTCTTCCTTGCTCTAATGTCCAGCGGTTCATGGGACTGGACACGATAGCAAACTCTGTTAAGGCGTTGGCAGGTCCTCTGAGCTCCTGGGGCCAGCGGCCACCCCTCCAGACATTCTATGGGACAGGGCACAAATGCCATTTTCTCCTAAGGACTGCGGACTGGAGTGCTGGGCCCTACAGTGCCCACTGCCCGGGTCACTGGGCTTCCCTGCACAATGAAACGTGACCCGTAGGGGAAGCAGCTGACTTCTGACTCCACCTGGTTCCCTTGGTCTCATAATATCCGTTTTTCCCAACAGATTTTGATCCGGTTTCAGATCCAGAGGAATGTGATCGTCATCCCCAAATCCGTTAACCCGAAGCGGATTCTTGAGAATATCCAGGGAGGTGTTTTCCTTCTCTGACATCAGTGGGTTTGGGGTCATGCATGAGCTACACAGGGCAGCAAGCAGCCGGCCTGTGAGGCTCTGACACAGCAGGGGGGCGGGGAAGCACAGGCCACACCCAGGGGACGCGGAGCTGCGCCTGGCAGGCACCCACCTGGGAGATGCAGACAGGATTAAACGGGGAAGGACAGGTGATGAGGGGCCAGGCTGCCACCTGCTCTGCGCCCAGCACCTGCTCTGTGCCCAGCACCTGCTCTGCGCCCAGCACCACTCACTAGTGCTGTCCCAGGGCTGCCCACCCTGATGAGAGGGACCCTTCCAGACTGTTCGCTTCTCCCCTTAACCTAAACTGCCCAGGGCCAGCCCCCCCCCAACTCGCTCCAGGCAGAACTGCTAACAGGGAGCCCGTGGTTTCTGCTAGGCATCCTGTGGAGGGTCTCCAGTGGGTAGGGGCTGGTAGGGGCCTGTCCCCTCCTGAGCGAAGATGGACTCACGCCCTGCACCTTCTTTCCTGGTCCTCAGTGGTGGCTCAGGGCTGGCTCTTCCATGTGGTCGTAGGAGCAGGTCACAGTCCTCAGGCCTGTTAGGGGCCAAGTAAGGGGGCAGCTTAGAATACATTTTAGAAGGAACAGAAAGTGAGTACTCAAAAGTGCAATGTGTTACGGCCATTGTTAGAGTTAATGTTCTTGAGGCCCAGACCCTCCCTCACTGCTGGGGTGTGTGGAACAAACGTCTGTGTTTTGGATTTGTGGTGTTTTGTGTTTCCTGTTTTTGTGAGCGCTGGGAAAGATCCTTCGCTGCACCCTTTACTGTCCTGGTATGCTCCTCACTCCTGTGGGATGAGCGCAGCCCAGATCTCATCTCTCCAAGGGTCCCTGCTGTAGCCCATGCTGGGCAAATGGCCCAAGTCCCAGTGCATCCTGGGAACTGAGGCCAAGGGCCAGGGGACAGGCCAGCTGCCACATGCAGTGTTTCTTTTACATCCTAGTGTCCCCCACACGCCCAGCACGGTGCTTAGCAGGTGACCGTGCTTGGCTAGGTATTCCCTGAACTGACTTTCCCATGAACGTTTTATTTTGGTTCCAGGTGTTTGATTTTGAGTTACCAGAAGAGGATATGAATGCCCTTTTCAGCCTGGACAGGAACCTCCGACTGACCAAATTCCCCACGTAAGAACAGCTCCTTCCCTACTCTGGAAATAGAGGAAGCAATATTCAGCTGGAACCATTGGTTCCTGGATGGATATTTATCATATGTTTTAGGTTCATGAAATCATCTCAGAATTCTTTCCTATTTGGGAATGGGCTGGTGAGGGAACCCAGGGATGAATTTTAGACACTAGGAAGCATAAAAATATGTAATTGTGTCATTTAAAAATGTTTCCCTTAAAAATAGTAATCCCTCTTTGTTTCTGTCTTTGACTTGTTCCCCGGTTTCCAGAGCTAAAAATCACAAGGACTATCCTTTCCACATAGAGTACTGAGCCGGCTCCCGCTCCCTCCCCCCGCACCGCCCAACAAATCCAGGGCTGAGGGGCTCCCGCCCAGCAGCACAGCACAGGGCCTGCCTCAGAGGCACACACAGCCTGGCCAGGAATGGGAGGGACGGAGGCTAAGCTCCCCAAGAAATCATCAGACTCAGTGAGATCGGAGGAGGACGCGTCTGAGAGTGTGCTTGCCCCACGGAGCACAGTGGTGGTCGTCTCACAAGTACTGGGAGACCAGCATGAAGAGCCTCTACAGCTGCGACTCGGCTTCAGCAATGAGCCCCTCCTCTCTGCCGCCCACCAGTCCCCCCAAATGATTTTACAGCGAAACCTGGAAAGGAAGACTGGGTGAAAGTGGTGAGCTGTCTTAATTCAACAGAGGAATTTTTTTTCTTACAATCTAAATTTTAATTTTAAAATGCTAATGTTTAAGAAAGTTTCCGAGGAAATCAGATTGAATCAGAAATAAACCTGTGCAAACAAATCAGAGATGGATGTGGTCATTTCCCCTCATGCTCTCAGTGTTCAGTCCCAGACAGTGGAGTGGATCTGGGACAGGAGTCCTGCCCCCTTAGGAAAGGACAGGGTGGGTATCCACGCAGGGTAGTGTGTGAGTCCTGCTCCCTGCATGTTCCTTCCACTTGGCCCAGGAGCTCCCCGCCCCCTGGGACCTGCTGCCAGGGCTCCTGGATGCATCTCCACCACACATCCTGCCCAGCTCCAAGCCCCGCTCCAGCACACATCTCCAAGGATGGGACTTACTTGACCCACTGGGCATTTCCGCCTGCCCCAAGGACTGTGCCCCTGTCCACAGGAGTTAGTGGCTCCTGGCTGTTGCCCAGGCGCCCTCACCTCAGGCTACCATCCACGCCCAATGCCAGGGCTTCCTCACCCAGTGGTGAAGCTGTCTGTTTAGAGGCCAGCCAGTCACAGACTTGTCGTGTTTTCAGCCTGTTTCTCACGGGGTCCTCTGGTCTTCCTCATTTGTGAGGCCATCCTTCCTGCTGTCTTGGGTGCTCTCAGGACTCAGTGTACCATCCACCCCTCCTTGATGTTCAAGCCTCAGTGCCTCGTCAGGGAGCTGGCATGTGGCCCTGAACCCCCAGCCCCTGGCAGGAGCAGTAGACGAGCTTGTCCGTATCTGCTCCTGAGGCCACTGAGCCAGAGAGGGTCCAGGGCCAGAGTCCCAGGGATCTCCCTCCCACATGGCCTGGGTGTGATGCACCTCGTGGGGTGGAGACACACTTCCTACCACAGGCAGAGGGTGGTCTAGAGTGCCAGGAACAGGGAGGGGCAGCCCGTGCCCCAGACTCTAATGTGCAAAGTTGCAGTCTCCGGGCTCTTCCTGAGCTCACTATTGCCCTGACCTGTGGCTTAAGCAGCAGACACTGGCCTTGGTCTATCTGGGGAACAAATGTGTGGCCCAACCAAGCCATGGGTGTCCTCGAGCCCTGAAGGTGTGGCCCGCACGTCCTGCCTGTGCTTTCACTCTGCTTGTCTGTTTGGGGCCTTGGGTTCTGCTGCTGGGCTCACGGGAGAAGGGGGCCCACCCATCCAGGGAGGGGCCCACCCACCCACTCCCCAGACCCCTGTCCTTTTACAGGGTGGGGGCATGGACACAGCCTGGGAGTCTCTGTTTGGTTTCCAGCTGACGCATGACACCCAGAGGACATAAAAACATCAGTGACGGGAAAACAAGCTTTCTCTACTGGAGTGTCAAGGATAAAGTCTGTGGTTTTCCCTTCTTTTGGTCCTGTGTGTGTGACTGCAGAGGCGAGGATGGCTCTGCTATGAGTCTGGTTCTTTGCTCCTGAGAGACAGAAGCCTGTGTCTCAGCCCATCCTCAGGCACAGCGGGTTCTCATTACCTGTGTTATAGACAGTTAGACAGCCATGAGCAGAGCAAGGACTATGGGCCAGGCACAGAAACTCACCAGGGCAGAAAGCCCCGGATACCTAGCAAGGGGCAATGCTAGGAAAACAAGGACCTTGCCCCCAGGGTAACCTTTCCTCCCCTAGCATATTGCTGGTCATGGGGTTTGGAAACCCTGACCTTTCCCTCCCTAAAGATAGCATCTAGGCCTCAGTTGCATTTCAGCTCCCAGCCCAGAAAAGCAACAAAACCAGACAAGTGACGCTGTGGCCCTGACTGACTCAGGACCAGCTGCATTAACTAATGATCCCCTGCCTTGGTGCTGACCAATCAGTGGAGACCATGACCCTGAAAGAGCACACCTGGAAAGCTGATGCATATTCTATGGAGACCGTTCCCCGAAACCTCCCCTAAGATTTCCACCTGCAAGAGAGAGAGAGAAATATGCTCAACAGAGGACCCAGGAGGAGCCCTTCCCCAGGGGAGCAGGCAGATACCATTTCCTCCCCCATCTTTCCTCTAAGGCAGTGGTTCTCAACCTTCTGGCCCTTTAAATACAGTTCCTCATGTTATGACCCAACCATAAAATTATTTTCGTTGCTACTTCATAACTGTAATGTTGCTTCTGTTATAAATGGTAATGTAAATATCTGATATGCAGGATGGTCTTAGGTGACCCCTGTGAAAGGGTCATTCCCCCGCCAAAGGGGTCGGGAGCCACAGGTTGAGAACCACTGCTCTAAGGGACCCCAGGAGACTTGCCACCAGGGGAGCAATGGGCAGGGGCATCTCCTGGGCAACCCCCCGAACCTGTCTCCCAGGCCCCCTTTTCTCTGACTTCCCGGTGAGCCAAAGCAGCCAAGCCTAGGCTCTCCTGTTGACCCTTCTTTGTTTCACTGTCCTCAGTATACTTTTGCTGCAGCCAATAAATTCTTACATACTTTGCTACACATTGTCTCTTTATTGAAATCTTTCCTTCAAGAAGACAAGTACCGAGGTCTTGTCGTCTCACCAGTAGCACCCACAGTGGTTGTGTTCTACAGAGTCACCGCAACCCAGGCTCGCAGGCACTGAACTACTGCTTTGAGCCTCTGGTCTCAACATTCTCATCATCCAATCATACATCGCCTGTTCCATGTGTGTCTCTGTCTAAAGACACCTTATTTTGCATTTACAGTGTTGGGTCATTAGCACTGAACTCAGCCAACAGCACTGTGATTCACGCCTGGTCAGAGCTTATCTAACATTTATTTTTCCCATAAAACACTGCACAGCCTCCTTGCTCTTAGGAACAATAGGCAGCACTTCAGCACGACTTTGGGGACATTTTTAAGCTGCTATAAAATACTTTATTATGTTAGATTAAAAAGGCTCATTTTCATAAATTGATTGCCAGATGTTCCTTGTTTATGTTAAGAAAAGTTCTGCATAATTGCCTAATAGAGTGTTTTATTAATACTGACTGTATTTTTCTGTTTAATTAAATCATTCCACTTGTTTGAGAATGCAAAGAAATCAGAAAAGCTCAATGAAAGAAAATAAAAGTGGCCTAATATACCAATATTCAAGAATAATCATTTCTGTAGTGAATCCTTTTAATCTTTGTTCATGTCTATGACATACAGAGATAGATCAGTTTTGTAAAATATGTAATAAATGTGCATAAACACATCTCACAAAACCAGTCACAACAAACATGTAATTTGTAATTTTCTTTTTAAAAAGACAAACACATACTGGACATACAGTTCATGCAACTGTTCACTTGATAGTTTGATAAGCGACATCAATAAACATCATGGAGCCTTTAATTTTGTATGTTTTAAACTACATAATTTTAACTCATCATAGTATCGTCTAAATGATCTCCACATGTTACACTGTCTCATTGCCATAAATAATTGACACCTTTCAAAGACCCTGCAGGCTGGAGAGAAAATTTACATCTTTATACTTTAAGCTTGGATGCTGATGACATACACAAGTTACCATGTTGTAATAATAGCTACCATTTTTATAATCACTTTATCTTTTATAGAAACAGTTTTACAAACTTTTAAATAGCTTTTCTGCTAGGAACACTTAAAATAGTAAAATCACCAACAAGAATCATACAAATGAGGAGCACCTGGCACTAAACAGATCCTGTAAGGGACACAGTGAGAGCTGAAGAGGCACAGTAGTGCCTCCTTGCAGCCCAGTGGGAATCAGCTCAGGGGGCCCCAATTCTTGTTGCACTATGCATGTCTGAAAATGATCAGGGAAGCCCCGAGAATGTTGATTTCAGTATTACAAATAAATTTTGGCCTGTAAGCAAACACTCAAATATGGAATCCTGAATAATGCATGCATCACCTGTCTTTGCATTTACAATTTATTTCCCAGCCAGCATCAGAGCTGTTGGGTATATTTGCCACCAGGTGGCGTCAGAGACCAACTAACTTTCAAGCTCAAGAAGGTGCCTTTGCAATGCCTGTTAGATTTTTAAGATTTTTTTTGTTTTTGTTTTTATTTTTAAACACTTTGTGAGTCATTGTAAGGAAAGAAACAACAGATAGCAAAAATAATGGAATTACTGTATTTTTCCGTGTATAAGACACCCCCATGTATAAGATGCCCCCCACTTTTCCAACCCAAAATTAATAAATCGATATTTTAAACTTAGAACACCTTTTGTTTAGTAATTACTGAAGGTAAATGTTTACATACCAGTACTATGATATTATGCAGCATGTCACTTTATTCAGCCTCTGCTGCATCACTGCTCTTTTCTTCATCACTATTAGTTCCAGACATATCAGTTTCTCTAATTTCCACTGTATCACTGCTGTCTTCAGTTACCACCTATTAATATATATGTGAGATCATCCTCATAAACTGGTGGCATTTTCTGAACTAACTTTGTTCATGTTCTCATGGCCAACCCTTCTCTCCTCATGAAATTGAAGCACCATTTTGCCTTTCCTGTAAGATCAACAATGTTCATTTTGCTTGCAAACATTCTTGCCTTACATTGAATAAGCTTGGTTGACACAAATAAGCCACTCTGGCGCTGCTCCATAACCCAAGTCTTAAGCCTCTGCTCCAAGTTTGCCCATTTTGCTGGTTTTCCTCTTAAGGCCTTCTTTTTTAGCATCTTAAGGAGTTGTTCTTCCTGTTTTCTCCACTGTCTGAACACACACTCAGTGGAAGGAGGTACCAATTGTCTCTCTGCAGCTCTATTTCCATGTTCTTTTGCATAGCTGATTACATTCAGTTTGAATTTTGCAGAGTAAGACAATTGCTTACTGGTATTTATTTTTATTTTTTGATAGCTTTATGGGCTCAGAATGCTGCATTCTCTGTTGCATCTGTGCACTCTCCACCTCCACCTCCAATTATGGTATCAGCTGACGTCAGTAACAATAAGGCTGGTGACTGGAGGAAGCCTGTTTGACAAGGTATGGGCAGCTACGTACCTACATGGCTCCCTCCTTGGCTTAGTTCTGTGTATAAGACGCCCCTCAATTTTCAGTCTGATGATTTTAGAAAAAATAATGGCGTCTTATACACAAAAAAAATACAGTATAAAGCTTAGGAAGTTTCACAGAGTTTATGCAGTCACATTCTCCATCAGTTTCCTACACATGGTACTTGAAAAGCTCTGTGCAGCTTGGCTCACAAGCCCTCCTCCCCTGGGACCTGCTCTTCTCTGGATAACATGACTTCTGTGGGAGTTCTTTCCCACCCAAGGGCCAGCAGACACAGGCTCTGCGAGAAAATACAGACACTTGTCCCCTTCAAGGAGCCTACTTGTGTCAGCTGGCTGTTTTGTGTTCCTGATGACTGGAATTGGGGTGGGGTGGGGGTGGCTCATCTCAATCGATACCTGTCCCATTGGGCATTTTCTCCTTTCATTGGAATGGAAAACCCAAAGATACGTGGAAAATGAGAGGCACACACAGCAGGAAAGAAAACAGCCTCAGCAAAGGGGAGATGTGGCCAGTTGTGGACAGGCCTTATAGACAAGCCTATCTAATAAAGACAGAATATGCAAATTGACCATCACTTTGCAATGAAGACAGTGGCACCCATAGCCAATAAGGAGTGAATATGCAAATTGACGTGACAAAGATGGCGGCAGCCGGGCCGGGATGCTTGCGTCATCACTATGGTGATGACACAGGCGTTCCACCCCGCCCAGGCTACTCTGGGCCTCTGGGCAACATGCGAAGGTGGAAGGCAGCTCCGGGCTGGAGTGAAGGTGGAAAGGCGCCTCCAGCTGAAGCGAAGGCGGTGCCGGCAGCCAGGGGAAGGAAGGCCTATTCTTGCATGAATCTTCATGCATCGGGCCTCTAGGGGATCCCAGCCAGCATCAGAGCTGTTGGGTATATTTGCCACCAGGTGGCGTCAGAGACCAACTAACTTTCAAGCTCAAGAAGGTGCCTTTGCAATGCCTGTTAGATTTTTAAGATTTTTTTTGTTTTTGTTTTTATTTTTAAACACTTTGTGAGTCATTGTAAGGAAAGAAACAACAGATAGCAAAAATAATGGAATTACTGTATTTTTCCGTGTATAAGACACCCCCATGTATAAGATGCCCCCCACTTTTCCAACCCAAAATTAATAAATCGATATTTTAAACTTAGAACACCTTTTGTTTAGTAATTACTGAAGGTAAATGTTTACATACCAGTACTATGATATTATGCAGCATGTCACTTTATTCAGCCTCTGCTGCATCACTGCTCTTTTCTTCATCACTATTAGTTCCAGACATATCAGTTTCTCTAATTTCCACTGTATCACTGCTGTCTTCAGTTACCACCTATTAATATATATGTGAGATCATCCTCATAAACTGGTGGCATTTTCTGAACTAACTTTGTTCATGTTCTCATGGCCAACCCTTCTCTCCTCATGAAATTGAAGCACCATTTTGCCTTTCCTGTAAGATCAACAATGTTCATTTTGCTTGCAAACATTCTTGCCTTACATTGAATAAGCTTGGTTGACACAAATAAGCCACTCTGGCGCTGCTCCATAACCCAAGTCTTAAGCCTCTGCTCCAAGTTTGCCCATTTTGCTGGTTTTCCTCTTAAGGCCTTCTTTTTTAGCATCTTAAGGAGTTGTTCTTCCTGTTTTCTCCACTGTCTGAACATACACTCAGTGGAAGGAGGTACCAATTGTCTCTCTGCAGCTCTATTTCCATGTTCTTTTGCATAGCTGATTACATTCAGTTTGAATTTTGCAGAGTAAGACAATTGCTTACTGGTATTTATTTTTATTTTTTGATAGCTTTATGGGCTCAGAATGCTGCATTCTCTGTTGCATCTGTGCACTCTCCACCTCCACCTCCAATTATGGTATCAGCTGACGTCAGTAACAATAAGGCTGGTGACTGGAGGAAGCCTGTTTGACAAGGTATGGGCAGCTACGTACCTACATGGCTCCCTCCTTGGCTTAGTTCTGTGTATAAGACGCCCCTCAATTTTCAGTCTGATGATTTTAGAAAAAATAATGGCGTCTTATACACAAAAAAAATACAGTATAAAGCTTAGGAAGTTTCACAGAGTTTATGCAGTCACATTCTCCATCAGTTTCCTACACATGGTACTTGAAAAGCTCTGTGCAGCTTGGCTCACAAGCCCTCCTCCCCTGGGACCTGCTCTTCTCTGGATAACATGACTTCTGTGGGAGTTCTTTCCCACCCAAGGGCCAGCAGACACAGGCTCTGCGAGAAAATACAGACACTTGTCCCCTTCAAGGAGCCTACTTGTGTCAGCTGGCTGTTTTGTGTTCCTGATGACTGGAATTGGGGTGGGGTGGGGGTGGCTCATCTCAATCGATACCTGTCCCATTGGGCATTTTCTCCTTTCATTGGAATGGAAAACCCAAAGATACGTGGAAAATGAGAGGCACACACAGCAGGAAAGAAAACAGCCTCAGCAAAGGGGAGATGTGGCCAGTTGTGGACAGGCCTTATAGACAAGCCTATCTAATAAAGACAGAATATGCAAATTGACCATCACTTTGCAATGAAGACAGTGGCACCCATAGCCAATAAGGAGTGAATATGCAAATTGACGTGACAAAGATGGCGGCAGCCGGGCCGGGATGCTTGCGTCATCACTATGGTGATGACACAGGCGTTCCACCCCGCCCAGGCTACTCTGGGCCTCTGGGCAACATGCGAAGGTGGAAGGCAGCTCCGGGCTGGAGTGAAGGTGGAAAGGCGCCTCCAGCTGAAGCGAAGGCGGTGCCGGCAGCCAGGGGAAGGAAGGCCTATTCTTGCATGAATCTTCATGCATCGGGCCTCTAGTGGGTAAATAAAGTGAAACAGGAGATTGTGGAGAAAGCAGGAAAAAGACAGAAAGTAAGTAGTGAGGGCCTTTTCCTCAACCATGTTATGAGACCCGGGTCTACTTAATGAGGGCCTAGGCCACCTACCCAGCAGACATTTAAGAGGTGGCCCTGGAGCTCACCTGCACCTTAATCTACACCTTCTTCTCTGAAGTGAAATGAGACCATAATGGAAGCACCAGGTAGCAGTGCACATTCATTACTCCTGCCCTGTGCTTTGTTATACTGATTCCTCCATGATGTAATACACAATACAATGTTATCATTTTTCCTTTATTTTAATTTTTTAATATGTTTTTATTGTTGATAGTATTACAGATTTCTCCCATTCCCCTTTTACCCCCCTCCTCCCAGACCCTCCCTACCCTCCCAAGTTTTCACTACCCTATTGCCAGTGTCCATGACCTGTACATATCTACACTAATAAAAGAGAAACATGCAAATTGGTGTCACTCCACTACGCCCACCAGCCAATCAGAGCGACTATGCAAATTAACCCAACAAAGATGGCAGTTAATTTGCATACACAGGCACGGAGCAAAGACTGAAGGCTCCGGCCAGACTGAAGACTGAAGACTGAAGACTGAAAACTGAAGACTGAAGACTGAAGACTGAAGACTGAAAACTGAAGACTGAAGACTGAAGACTGAAGACTGAAAACTGAAGACTGAAGACTGAAGACTGAAGACCAAAGAGGCTTGGCTTCTTTCCTGCAGCCGGAGCAGAGAAGCCAAGCCTCGTTGTGGCTGCAGAGGAGAAGCCAAGCCTTGCTGTGGCCGGAGGGGAGAAGCCTAGCCTCAAGGCTTGGCTTCTCTGCTGTGACTGGACCAAAGGCCTGGGTCCCGGGAGCCGGAGGAAAACCGGTGCCAGCAGCCAGGGGAAGGAAGGCCTATTGCACGAATCTTCGTGCAACGGGCTTCTAGTAAGTATATAAGTTCTTTGGTTTATCTCTTCTTGTCCTATTTTTCTTTTAAATAGTCAGTGTTCTTGTAAAGAATTTCAGTCATAAGGAAAATATCTTGCACATTTTCAAATGTGTGTACCATTCTGCTGGTGTCCCTGCCTCATTGTATCTGGTTTCCCTCAGCACAAAGTTTCTTTGTTGAAATTTTTTTTCTTTTTTCATTTGTCCCAACTTTATTTGTAGTTGCTTGATGAAACAGTTGTATGGTGGCTGCTTTGAAACCTTTGTCAGATTATTCTAATATCTAAGTCATCTTGGTGCATGAATCTGTTGCTTATCTTTCATTTAATTTGGTATCTCCCTTCTTCTTGGTATTGTGAGTAATTTTTAATTCAAATCTGGACCTTTCATGGATTTGTGTTAAGTTTAAGATCTCCTTAAAATGTCTTATAAAGTTGTATGGTGTGGCAAATTCATACAACAAAAGAGAAAATAAAACAAGAACTACAGACAGGTAAAAAAGTGGACTTTGAACACTTAAAAGTATAGTAAATGGTTAGTTTTCTGTGTGTGTGTGGGTTTTTTGTTTTGTTTTTGTTTTTGTTTTTTTGAGAGTTCATATCCACTATGGTTACTTCCTGGGATGTCAGCATTTCAACCTCAGTGACACAGGGAAACACAAAACAAAACAAACAAACAAAATAGCCAAAGCAGTGGTAGGTTAGGTTGTTCAAACTGTATCATTATTTATTCCAGGGGGGGAAAAGAACAAGTTTAGAGACTTTTATTTCCTGGTCCAGGGACTCAAGCCATATTGTGACTGGTCAGGCTGAGGGGCACAAAATAAATCAGACATCTTCTCATCCTTGATGTTCTCCAATCATCAACCAAAATCTGGAGCACCCTCTGACACTGTTGTCAATATTCATCATTAAATGGATAATCTGGGTGATCAGCAAAACTAAAAGGTAAAAGGAGAGCCTTAGTCAAGTCACTGTTTCTGGGCTGAATAGAGAGGTTTCTGTTAAACTGGCTTAAGTATGAAAATTAATAATTAATAATTTTCTTTACCGGAAAGTGCAAACCCAACTAGTATTATAATAACCATGTACTAATGTAATACATACATTATAAAATACAAATATACTTACTTGCTCTTGAGCACCTACACAAAAATAAGTTATTATATTCTATTTTTGCAGGTATATTATTCTACAAATTAAGGAGATAAAACTCTTTGTGTTGCAATTTTAATCTCCTAAAAGGGCAGAAATGAATTATGCCTTCCTTTAAAACAATGTTAATCTGGTTAAATATATGAAGTTAACAAACATTTCAAGTTGATGATGAGGAATGTGATAAAAATATGACTGTTGTTCAATTTCTTCCACTCAGAAAAGTATATACTTGACCTGAAGATGGATACAATGATTATAAAATAAGTCACTTCAATAGAGAGCTTCCAATTAGCAAGCTCTACATACATATAATTTTTGAGATAGAAAATGTTAAATCATCCCTAGCTGGTATGGCTCCGATGGTTGGGTGTTTTCCTGTGTACCAAAAGGCTGCTGGTTCAATTCTGAGCCAAGGATTTGATCCATAGAAGAGAGCATGCAGGAGGCAGCTGATCAATGTTTTTTTCTCTCTCCCTCTCCCTTCCTCTCTCTCTCTCTAAAAATCAATTAAAAATAAAGAAAGAAAATGGTAAATCACTGAATAATTATTGATTATTGTTAAGGTGTACCACCTGCTCCTCTATTCTCTCTTCCTCTTACCCTTCTACCTATTCACTCAACCAATATTTATTGATTATTCAGGGAAAGAGTAGCTTATTTAAAAACCTGCCCTAGGATTTGCACAGCCAGCATGGCTCAGTTGTTGAGTTTCGATCTATGAACCAGAAGGTAACAGTTCAGCCTAGGTTGTGCCCAGTGTGGGACTTGCAGGAGGCAGCCGATCAATGATTCTCCTTCATCATTGATGTTTCCATCTCTCTCTCCCTTCCTCTCTGAAAATAATAAAAATATTTTTAAAATACAATAAAAACATGCCCAAGGACCTAGCATTCTGTCCTCAACAAAAAACAACGGAAAATAGGTTAGTGAACTATATGACATGTTAATTAGGGATAGGTGCCAAGAGAAAAATAAATCAGGATAGAGGGAAAGAAAGTGCTGGACAAGGGTGCATTTTTAGATAAAGTGACAGAAAAGGTATTACAGAGGTGACATCTGAGTTAGGACTTCACAAGGGGGAGGACTGAACATCCAGCCACCTGGAGGAGGAGCATTCTAGCAGAGAAAAGAGCCAGTGCAAAGGCCTGGAGACAAACTTGGCATATGTGACAAGCAGCTAACGTGTCACTGGAGCTGTGTTGGAGTCAGAGGGGAGAGCAGTAGGTCCTGGGGCCAGAGATGTAGGGAGGGAGCCCCCTGTTGGCTCTTGCAGGTTGTGTAAGGAATTTGGCTTTTGTTCTGAGTGACATGGCAGGCCAGCAGGTACCACAAGGGGGAGTGCTTTACCAGGTCTACTGTGTAACCCCTTGGCTCTGAGGATGAAGTAGAGAAGCCAGGGAGAAGCCAGTAGTGGGTAAGGGGGGAAAGGGGTAGCCCTGCAAATACCATCACTGGTGATAAATTTAAGATGCTTATTAAACATCCAAGTGGAGTTGAGTAAATGGATCTGTAACTCTTGTTTCAGGGTCTAGGTCTGGGCTAGAAGTAATTTGGGGGGTGGGGGGGAGTCTCTATTTAGATGGTGTTGAAAGAATGGGACTAGATGAAATCACCAGGGATGTGGGTATAGATAGAAAAAAGAAGAGGTCTGGGATTGAGCTTTAGGTCACTCCAAAGTTAAGAGGTCAAGTTGAGGAGGAGAAACCTGCAAAGGACTTGAGACCATGAGATGAGATGGTGAGAGAGGGAAGGGCAAAGGTCAGCAGCCAAAGAAAGCAAGTGTTTCTTGGAGGACAGAGTGGCCCACTCTGGTGTCAGCAAAAACGAGGTTGTGGTTAACTTGATAGTAGTGTTGGCAAAGTAGAGAACAAATGCCTGATTTGTGTGGATTCGAAAGAGATGGAGAAGAGAGACCCTGGAGGCACAAGTATAGCCTGTTCCTAGAAGCTTTTCTATAAAAGGAGAAGTGGGTGGAGCTGGGGTACCTGGGAAGTGAGGTAGGCTCCACTGAGGACTTATTTTTTTAAAGATGAGCACACATTTGAATGCCTTAAGGAATAATCTTGTGAGGAGGGAAAAACTGATGATGTGAATAGAGATGGGACTTAACCAGGTTTTGTTTAGATCCATGAGTAAGACGGGGAGAGAAGGCAAGAGTTGAGGCACTATGCAAAGGATATTAATAAATTGACCCTAGAATTTAAGTAGCATTAGGACAGAGGGAACACAAGGGTAACAGTGAAAAGGTGGTCTGAAGGCTTCAAGAAAAAGGATTTCCAACAAGTTTCCTAAAGGAGGAGGGCAGAGAAGACCTTGCCCTTTGTGGATGGGAATAAGTGGAGTTCCTTCCCTGTCATGCTCCCCAGTGTCTGCAATGGAACAAGCTACTTACTAAGTGTCTTTAAAATAGCGAAGGTTCCTGTTGAGGCCATCTAGAGTTTTCATATCCTCTGGTGTCAACTGGAAATCAAAAACCTAGTAGAAATGTGAGAAGAACTATTAAATTTCCTTGAGGCAATTGCTCCCCACCTTCCATCTCCCCAGACACAGACACAAATGAAGTAGGCATTTATGTAGGTTTTATGAGACAATTGTCATTAACCTGGGGGTCATTCTCTGGCAAAAGTCATGAGAATTTTCTGCTCTGATAGTTGAGATTGGCAATTCAGACCACCCTCAAAGACTTCTCTGGGGTGGCTGTGCTGATGTAGCAAAGGAATCCTGGAAATATTTGAGCCCAAACCTCATCTCATTTAACTCCTTCATTTTATAGCTGAAGAAATTAAGGGATGATTTGCCCTGGGGCTATGCATTTGGATTAGAAATCAGGATTGAGACTAAACCTGACCCTGTTTAGTATTCTTTCCAACCCTCATGCACCCCCTCATCCTGCAGCAGGTGGAGGACAGAATGATTAAATACACCTCTTCTATGCACAGAGTACAAGGAGACAAATTTGACCTAGTACACGTTGATAGCCTCACCAATAACCATACTAGGGAAATGCTATACTGTCAGTCCCTGATGCCCTCAACCCTACCCTGTACCTGGAAGTTCTCTCGGATTCTCTTCTCAGTGAAGCTTTTGGCCAGGACCACCAAGCCCCGCTGCAGCTGGTAACGCAGGGCCACCTGAGCTGCGGTTCGCTGGTGCTTTTCAGCAATGACATTGAGCACTGGATCCTCCAGGATAACTGGGTAGTTCTTGGTAACCCTGGGAAGGAGGCAGAGTGCTCTGAGTCTGAGGCTGCATATCCATTTCACAGGGGTGGGGGGTGGGCTTCTCATTTGGGCTGGGGGGAGTCTAGTCCTCTAGAATCTTCCTCATTACCCTCTGGCTACTTCAAGGTCCAGTTTTGCTTCTTTTGGTAAATCCAAAGAAGAACAAGAGAAAGTAAGACAGAAAGGGAAACCAGGTATATTTTAAAAAACATTTCTGAGAAATTTAATAAAAGTTTGAATAAGTCAAAAAGACAAAATGGTTACCCAAACTAAAACCCAGTAACCACCATCATAAAAAATAACTACCTATTGTATAAGAATTTGCTATTTCAAAAACATACTTTCAATTAATTCTCTCAGTTCTGTCATCCAGCACTAAAAGGTGCATAATTTATACTGCTTTTGAAGAAATAAACTAAAACTCGCAGAAGAGGTCGCTTATATCACATGACTCAACTATTAAGTGCCCGAATTATGGCTTGGGCTTTTTTTTTTCACTCTTCATAGCCAACCCTGGAATTTATGAACATCTTACTCATAATGTTATTATTTAATAACTAGAGACCGATGCACAAAATTTGTGCGCTCTGGAGGGGGGTGGTCCCTCAGCCAGATTGTGAGAGGGTGCAGGCCAGGCCGAGGGATACCAGTGGTACACGATCCGGGCCGGGGAGAAACACAGGAGGTTGGCCAGCTGGGGAGGGAGAGCAAGAGGGCTGCAGGGCATGTCTGGCCCTCTCACCCAGTCCCAATTGGCTGGACCCCAGCAGCAAGCTAACCTACCGGTGGGGGTGTCTGCCCGCTGGTGGTCAGTGCATGTCATAGTGAGTAGTTGAGTGGCCTTAGCATATCATTAGCATATTACACTTTGATTGGTTGAATGGCCAATTGGACAACCCGACACTTAGCATATTAGGCTTTTATTATATAAAACTAGTGGCCCAGTGCGTGAAATTTGTGCATGGAGGGGGAGGTTCCTTCAGCCCAGCCTGCACCCTTTCCAATCGGGGACCCCTTGGGGGATGTCCAAATGTCGGTTTAGGCCCAATCCCTGTGGGACATCCCTCTAGCAATCTGGGACCGCTGGCTCCTAAACGCTCCCCTGCCTGCCTGCCTAATTGCCCCTAATCTCTCTGCCTGCCTGCCTGATCGCCCGTAACTGCCTCTGCCTGTCTGCCTGATTACCCCTAACTGCCTTCCCTTGCCAGCCTAATCTCACCCCCAACTGCCCTCCCCTGCTGGCCTGATCACCCCTGCCTCTGCCTCAGCCTCCACCACCATGGCTTTGTCTGGAAGGAAGTCAGACATCCAGAAGATGGCCGGTTGACCCAGTCTAACTAGCATATTACCCTTTTATTAGTATAGATAGTTTATATAGGATAGTTTTGCTTAAATGGGGTGGAAAAACCTACTTCAGCAGGAGGAGATGCTCTTGGCAAACAAAAACACATAAACCCTATATCTGAACTGATAGCTAGCCATATGCACTATACTGTCAAACTGGTCATTAAAAAAATTGAACTGCTTTCTTACACCTTATACCAAGTAGCTGTTGCCCTTAAAACTCCTCCTCACTCCCCACCTTAGGTTCTGTTTTTGCAGTTCATCCAGATTAGGTTCTGATTAGTCAGTTTCTATGCCAGTCAGCATCAAAAGCTCCGCCTCCTAGGCAGCCATTGGCTCCTGGCACTTCACCCAGATTTGGTTCTGATTGGTTGGTTTCTATGCCTGTCAGTGTCTCTGGGCCTATCTCTAGGTCTGATCAAAGAGGCAGAGCTGATCAGCAGTCCCCCCTCCCCCCATGGAGGCTGGGGGAGAAACAGAGGCTCGGCTGCTGGTGAAACCCAGAGAGAAAGAGAGAGGCAAAGGCTGATCAACAGCTGCCACAGAGGCTGCGGATCAGAGCCTGTCTCTCTCTCTGCAGGCCTCTCTCCAGGCCTGATCCACAGCCCCCCTCAGCAGTCAATGCTTGGTCACTGTGCTGGCACTGGCTTCAGTCAGTGCTGGGTTGTCCTGGCTGGTGGTGACTTCCGGTGTTCGGTTGAGCCTTCGGTCGTTGTGGACATTACGGACCCTGACTCTTTATATATATAGATGTTTCATATAGTCTTCACAATGTAGGCTAGGGAAAGGGTTGACAAAGATGAGTTACTAATTTCCCCCAGACATTTGAGAGAGGACTCCAAGAGGAATGGCATCTATGATGAGAATAACTTTTTAGAGAATAACTTTTTTACCACTCCTTTTCGGGGTCAGAGCCCAGGACACCATATGCAGTGAGGACAATGTCCTTGGACTTGCAGAAGTCCAGCAGTTTGCTCTGGTTGAAGTACAGGTGACATTCTACCTGTAGAACACCAAACAGAAGCAATGGATTATAGAACCACCAACACCAAGTTTACAAGGAACATACAGTGCTGTATTGCATGGTGTCAAAAATACTTAGGAATACAAGCTACACGGACAAACACATGCTTGTCACACAGCTGTGCCACTGGAGCTTCCCAAGTCTCAACTCTGACTACCTACCCAGAGATAGCATCACAATATTGATCTCAGTGCTTGGGATAGGGGAGACCTAAATCTAATAGATAGAGCACCTGAATTAATCTGAAAAGTAATCATGCTATTTTAAATCTTAGAACACATATACTTATGTGAATAGGAGGTTAAGTTTTTCTTAAAGTTTCCTTTTCAAGGCCTGTGTGAAGCGATTGGGGAGCTGATTCAGCTGTGAATCCAGCAAGCAGAACCGATAAGCATGGTCAGGCCAACACACCAGGAGTCAAACCATCATCTCATCAACATCATCTCATCACCTGATGACTAATTACAATAGCTGACGTCTGTGACCCCCAGGCCTGCACGTAGCTACATTCCTCACCCCAGACCCTTCCCCTTTATAATCCTGTCCCCTGCACCTTGCTGGAAGGCAGGATTTGATGCTTGTAAGTGCCCTGTCTTCTTGGTTGGCTAGCCTTCTCAATAAATGCCTTATATGATTCAACCCTGTCTTCGTTATTGGACCCAGCAATAGGCAGCCTGAGCCCAACCAGGGATTTCCCAGTAACACTTGTGGAAGACGAGTTCAGATGATAAGATGAACAGATCTCCCTGACTCTCAGGCTGGAGGCCATGGTGGTGTTCTTGGGTCTTCTTCATGTAAACGCCCTCCAACCAATCAGCCTCAAGTTGGCCAAACACTATCCTCCATTAGAGCTCAGGAAATATCCAGCTTCTCCCTTAATTTTTCACCAACTAAGTACATTCACATTGTTTGTGAGTGATTTTGTACTATCAAGGGGCTCAATGGTTCTCATGCACAAAACTCAAGAGTTGTCAGACTTAAAGATGAATCACCCACTTTCTTTTATACATAAGTGTTCCAACTTTGTTGACCTTTTATGAGATAAGAAAACTCAGTAGTGTGTTGGTTCTAAATTTTTAGGACCAATCCCATAACACCTAGTAGATTATACTCCAATCTGACCCTTACATGTTTTGTCTTATTTTTAATAAAGTGACATGGCCTTGGCAACTGTCTTCAACAACTTGAAATACATTCTGTTCTCTTGAAGCAGCTGATGTCCGAAGTTACAATACACTAGAGCAGTGGTCCTCAACCTTGGCTGCACATTAGAATCACCTGGTAATCTTTTTAAAATCCTGATTTCTGGGCCTCATCCTCCGGAAATTCTGTTTCTTTGTTATTAATGTTGTGGACAACATTAATAACAAAGAAACAGAATTTCCGGAGGATGAGGCCCAGATACCAGGATTTTAAAAAGATTCCCAGGTGATTCTAATGTGCAGCCAAGGTTGAGGACCACTGCACTAGAGGGAGTGCCCTTGGAAACTTGTGGACATGAGAAAAAAGTAAGCTGAAGTGGGAGAGGAAGTCAGTAGTGCATTGATGGGGCTCACCTGGTTGCATACAGGCTTGTATTTGAGTCCTGGTTTGTTCAGGATCATCTCCAGCTGCTTGCAGTTAAAGTTGGACACACCAATGGACTTGGCCAATCCTGCCTCCTTACACTTCTCTAGGGCCTGGGGAGGAAGGGATTGTTAGAGGTCATGTGTGTAACTGGATAGAGAAGCCTAATGGGAGCACAATGAGAGTAGGGGGTGGGGAAGGGAGAGATTATGAGCCAGAGCAGGAGAGAAAGTCTTGAAAGGTTCAATTGTCAATCAACAAAACAGCAATTGGCCAAAGGAGGAGAATAAAAAATAATAGAAAAAAAATGGGTAAGAACATAAGAGTAAGAAAAGAATGCAAGTGGGTAATGCAAGTGGGCGAGACAGAGCTAAAGGAGCCAGATGATCTTTAGCTGAACACCAGGTAAAATTTGATTGAATGATGGCAAAACCAGCCCCAGGAGAGCAGGAAGTGGAGCAGCTGAGCACGGGGAAAAAGAGGGTGGCCCCCTCTTTTCTCTCTGACCCCATTTCCTATTATTGCCCTTCAAACTCCCTCTGTTCTAGTCACACATGTCCTCTTGCTGTTTCTGGAACATGGTGGGTTCTCTCCCATCTTAAAAATTCTGCCTTGGTCTTCTTTTGGCCCGTATCACTCTTTGTTCAGATATCCATATAATCAATTTTCTCACTTCCTGCAAGTCTTTGATCAAAGTTCATCTTCTCAAAGCCCTACCCTACCCATTCTGTGTTTAATTGCCTATCTGTGTTCCAACCCCTGCACTCTCAGTTCCCATGGGGCCAGAGACCTTGGTGTTATTCACTGATGTTGCCTGAGTATTTAGAAGCACTAAGTACTAAGTATGTCATAGGCACTCAATAAGTATTAATTGAATTATTAAGTGGATGAATTGAGAAAATTGAGGCAGAAGGTTTTCAGGAACTTGCTTGAGTCTACTCAGGTGGCAGAACTGGACTAGATCTACCTTTCCTGAATTCTCATCTGTCCTCTCTCACCACCGAGGCAGCTATACTCACCTCCCAGGTGGTACAGAGATCCACGGCATCAAAAATGGGTTTCCCATCTGTGTCCTTTGGTAAAATCTCCTCCCCAGGCTGGAATACAGGCAAGAAGGAGAAGGTGTATAAAGCCATGTCTGACTTTACCCAAGCTGTTGAGACTAATGGAATAATCTATCCTTATTTTTGAAAGGAATTTTAAGGTAGGATAAAGGGAAAGGAAGTACACCTAGAATTGTTTTTAGCCGTTAAAGGTTTAATAAATATCGTTTGTGTCAAGGACAGTTTGAGACCCCCAGGACATCATTCTTGAGCAGGGGTGGGCAACTCCTGGCATGAGTGCCAAACATGGCACGCCAGTAACTTTTGCTGGCACGCGAAACCCTCTCTTATAATCTTCCATTTACAATTTTTTTCTTAATATTGACTTTTTTATTTTTCAGATAAATTCAGTATAGCTGCATCTTAGATAAATAAATAATTTTACATAACATGTATACATTAAAAAATAAATGTATTTTTCATCATCATATACTGTGTTTTGTCGCTCGCATGAATTTTATTATTTCTTCAAGGTTCTTTATCTACTTGATATCTACTTGATACCTTAAGAGATATCAAGTAGGCATAACATGTTCTCAAAAAATTAGGGTTGGCACGCAGAAGAATTTTGAATCAGAGATTTTGCTGGTTTGGGCATGCACTCACAAAAAGGTTGCCCACCCCTGTTCTAGAGAGAGCCTGGCATGGAGCATGACTCAGCAAGCTCCTTGCTCCTGTGCTCTCACTTTCCACTCGGAGGTGGTCAGATGAGAGAGCGACCTGTCAGCCTCTCAAGGGCTGAGTCTCATCCTCTTTGGATTTCCTGGACTTCAACTGACCTCCAGATCAGGACATTCCCAGACACAGGTGGGCATTGGGTTCAGATTCAGGAGCATAGGGGTTGTCTCTCTGGAGCTGAAATAATGAACTGAGATGGAGATAGTTGCAGCCAAAAAAATAGGGAATCTTAAAGTATTATGTATGTTTCTTCTCATTTTACAAACTATTTCCTCTCTTGCATTCAGCTACAATGTTTATATTGATAACCAAAGTAAAATAACTTTTGCTCACCTTCAAAGCTACTGGGAAATGAATAAGAAAAAGATCCACATAGCTCAGCTGAAGTTTCTTCAGTGACACTTCCAGACCAGTTTGGACCAATTCTGGACGGAAAAAGGTGCCCCACAGCTGCAATGGTTGAAAGAGAAGGAGTGTGGGATTATTTTTTTAAGAGTCTTTCAGCCCTAGCCTATTTTGCTCAGTGAATAGAACATCAGTCCACGGACTGAAGGGTCCCTGGGTTCGACTCCATTCAAGTGTATGTACTTGGTTGCAGGTTTCCTCCTGGCCCTGGTCTCCATCCTGGCCCTGGTTGGGGTGCATGTGGGAAGCAACCAATGATGTTTCTCTCTCTATGTCTCTCCCCCTCCCTTCTACTCTCTCTAAAAATCAATAGAAAAATATCTTCAGGTGAGGATTAACAACAACCAAAAAAAAAATCTTTAGAAATTAACAACAACAAAAAAGAGTCTTTAGGAGAAACTGGCTGGAGTGGCTCAGTTCGTTGAGCCTTGTCCTGTGCACCAAAAGTTTCCTGGTTCAATTCCTGGTCAGGGCACATGTACAGAAGGCAACTGACCATTGTTTCTCTCTCTCTCGCCTTTCCTCTCTCTAAGCATGTCCTCTGGTAAAGAAATATATA